ACGACAGGGAGATCCAAAAGGCTCGTTTCCATCACAATTAAAAAAAGGAAATTAAAAGTAATTGGTTAAAACTTCTAAAAAGCTTCTAGTGTGCAGGCTGCGGCATTCTCTAGGCTCAGTGTCGGGTGCAGCCTCCCCCTACCAGCCCTACAAGCAATCTGAGCGCAAAGCGATGTTCACCGCAGGGGTCTGGCGCGGTTGCAGCGCGGCACATTCCCTAAGGCGTCTACGAGGCCAAAGCACAGGACCCACACACAACTCTACGGTGATGCTACGGAGGCAGCTGCGGCAGTGGGTCTGGGGAGGTCACTGAACACAGCGAGGGCGATGGATGGAGAGTCTGTGCCTTTTATGGCTCAACTTCGGGGTGGGGAAGGGGCTGCTTTGCTCTCCAAGGCTGAGCTGGGTCGTTTGCTTTGCTGCAGTTCGGCTTCCCCCCTCCCAGCTCACATGGGGCTGCCCTGCCAGGGCCTGGAGCTGGATGTGGGCTCCTTCTGCACGTGGCCACAGAGAGAAAACTCGGGCTCCACGGCCACCTCCAGGGCAAAGAGCAAGGGGTCCCCACACCCCTGTGCTCCAAGGGCCAGGCCTCCCACTGGTAAAGGACAGAGTCGGGGACGTGGGACCTATTGCCGCTACCTGCACCCTGCGCTCTCCTGGGATCAGGTACTGCAGCAGGTCCAACCTCCTGCACCGCTCAGAGCTGCATGGGGGGCTCTGCCCGATGCTGCCCTCCTGCTAGAGCAGCCCCCCCACACCGGGCTGCCCTGGCTTGGGGAGGGGGGGAGCAGCCCCCCATGCCTCTGGGCTTGCTGACCCTCCCAGGAGCATCCCCAGGGCCACTGGGCTCAGGGGGTGCCTGCAAAGCCCTTGCACAGGGTGCGTAGTGCAGCTCCTGGCTCATCTCCTGAGCAGATATTGTGCTGAGTAGAGCTAGGCACGACCCTGTATGTGGCACAAGCGTCCCCTGCTCTGTCTCATCACCCGTCCTCCCTGGGCCCCAAGCACCTCAGCACAGTCCTACAGCTTCACCAACACAAAGTGGGGTTTGCGCCATGGGCAAACCCTCTGTCAGGCCAGGAAGGGGCCGGGCTCAGCCGAGGGCCATGGGGCAGCCCGCAGCCCTTCCACTGCCTCCCCGCTCCATTCCCCAGAGCTGCTCAAGTACCCCAGAAGGTTTTTGCCTGTCCTGCAGCCTGAAGAGGTATTTGGGAGCAGAGCTGCGAGTGCTTTGTACATACTGCTAGAGTGTCCCTAGGGGTTTGCATAGTATTTATTGTTCATATACACAAGGCTGATTGATTGCTGTACAGTTTACACCTCCAACACAAGCAACGAGCTCAGTGCTCAGCCCAGAGCCCTGCCCTGGCCGGAGCCGTTGCCTGCGCTGGGGAGCGGATGGGCAGCCCTGCACCGGCCCCTCTGCCCAGGGCAGTTGTGCTCCCTGCACCCCTCTGCTCCCCCCAAACCCAGCACTCACGGAGCGGGATGAGAAGCGAGTCCAGCAGAGGCAGCACTGGCGATGCGGGGTGTGTGTGTGTGTGTGTGTGTGGGGCGGGGGGAGCCCCTCTCCTCGAGGTGAGCAGCTCCGCGCTGCCCCAGCCTCCCTCTTGCAGCTGGAGCACGGGCACAGGGATGCCTTCGCCCACCTCTCTGCTGCTGGCTCTTGCCTCCCGCGGGAGCTGAGAGGATGCCCCGGGTGCGTGCTGCTGCCCCTGGGCTCTGGCAGCAGTGGGGCAGGGATGGAGCCCCCCCCCGCCGGTTGTAAGTACTGTAGCTCATGCGTCTTGCAGTCAGTCAGTCATGCGGATAGGACGGTAAGTATGTCTCATACGGAAATCATGCCATTAGCCTATAGAAACATGTACAGCCAGCCCTGCTCCCCTCCACTCTCTGTTCTCCTCTCCTCCCCTCCTCAGGTATGTGTCAGAACGTGTGTGGAGTTCAGTGGTTTGGTGTTGAGGTGAGATCCTGGAGACATACAGGGAGAGACAGAGATGAGGTTAGCAGGCACAGCTGAGGAAAACCCATGGGGGCAGGCAGGTAAAGGCAGTCCCAGCCCCTTCTGCACCCTGTGCTTGTCACACGCACCCATCCTGCCTCAATTCAAGCGTTTGGGGGGGGTGTCAGAGAGACAGCAAGAGAACACCAGTAAGTGCCCTGCCTGGAACAAGCAGCAATGGCATAGATGGTATTGGTTGTGCGGAGCACGGCAAGCGGGAGCTGAGCTGCACAGTGTGGCACTGGGAAGGAGCTGGGAGGGCTGCTGCAGGCTCTGGGCTAGAGGAGGCCAGGCCAACCACCTCACTCACAGCCGTGGGGAAGACCCCATACATTCCCAATGCACCCTGGGCCCTTCCACATGCTACTCGTGACAGCAAGAGCAGCAGGAGCACTGCCCCAGGGAGAGGCAGACCCAGGGGCTGCCTGGGGAATGGGGTGGGCAGCAGCTATGGGACGTGGTTTGCGTTGAACATGCATCCACAAGCACAAACCTCTTGACTGCCGTGCACCCACAGAGAGCCCCCACACACAGTGAAGAGCAGTGAGAGGAGGACAGACAGACACAGCCATGCGTGTACAGCAGAGGCCAGAGGACTGGGGCAGCCAAGAGAGCCGTGCTGCACTGGGGGCCAACTGCACTGTGCTGGGAGACCAAGGCAGGGGGAACGCACAGGACTCAAGGATGATTCAGTGCTCGCACTGGGGATCGCTGCTAGAAATGTCCTGAGCCAAAGCCAAGCTCCTGCCCTCCCGTTCCTGCATCCCCACTGCCCTGATGCTGCCCAGCAGCGCCCTGAACCCCGTGCCCGTCCATAGGGGCTCCAGCGGAGCTCGCTGCCGCCCTCTGGTGCCGGCTGCGGGGATGGCAGCGGCCGTGCCCGGCGCAGCGTCCGGCCCTAGGCTCTGCCGCTGCCCCCCGCACCCTGCGAGGGTGAAGCCGGGCACCAGGCTGCGAGGAACGGTCTCATCCGGCACATGAGGGGGGCACCACTGCTCAGACCCCATGCAGACGCTATCCCCCCCTGCAGACGCTATCCCGCTCCCTTGTGCGGCTTTGGACGCAGATCATCCCTCTGCTGCAGCCCAGTATAACCAGTACAGCCCTTGGGGACCAGTACCCCGTGTACCCGAGGTGCTGTGACTGGCCCTGGCACGGTGGTCACAGTGGAGTGCTGAGCATGGAGGCTGGCACAGTGCCCACTGCACCCGCTGCACCTACTGCGCCCACTGCACCCACTGCACCTGCTGCATCCCAGCATTGGTTTAAGCGTCAGAGGCTCGCCTCTGCCTACTCGCAGCATTTTGCTGCGGCATAATAACCCCTCTCTGCACGTTTCCCCAGGAGGATGTGCATGAGCAGCAGCTCAGTGCAGGCAGCAGCATGGGGAGCTGGGACAGAGGGAAAGAGCAAAGGTGGGGTTACCTCCAAAGAGGCCATTTGAGGGGTCACTGCTTCCCCCTTTTCAGGCTGGCTCGTTTCACTATCTGAGCCCCCATCCTGCCCCCGGAGAGCTCTGGTTTCGGGACACGCACTCGCACCTCCTCCTGAGGAAGCCGCAGGGGCAGGAAGCAGGACATCACCCGGGTGAACAGACACACACATACAGAAGAGGACAGGAGAGGGAAAAGCAGAGTCAGTTGGCAGAAGAACATCGAGCAAGACGACTGGAGCAGTGGGCAAAAGCCGCCCCTGGAAGCCTTAGAGGGGAAACAGGAGAGGAGAGCAGGGCAGAAGAAAGGACAGAGGGTGGTGGAACCGCAGAGCCTGCAAGGCAGGGCTATGAGCCACACTGTACCTTGGCCCCCAGCCCGTCCCGGTGCAGGATGGAGTACTTCATAAAGCGATCATCCTCAGCCTCCAGGTCATGGGGGTCCCCCTCTAGCACCAGCTCCTCCTGCTCCTGCGTGTCGCCGGGGCCGAGCTGCCGCACCACCTTCCTGATGACCTGCGGCGAGCCACGCAGCGGGTGTCACCGCTCGCACTGCGGCTCCATGCCTCCCTCCATGCCCAGCCTGCCCATGGACCGCACGTGGTGCGCAGCCTCTGCCCCATGCCGTGCGCACGGGGGGGGCTGGAGCGGTGCCGGGACCGTAACCGAAGACGGCCGGGTACGGGTGGCCCTGTGCGGGGCCCCGGGGCTGCCAGGACGGGCAGGGCAGAGGGAGAGGAGAGCGGCCCGCCCGCGGTCACTCACCTTCTTGGTGATGATATTGCCGTGATCATCCGTGAACTGCTCCTCCGTCACCTGCTCTCCAGGGAGCTGAAGGACTTCATTCCCCTGCGGGGGACAAGGGGGGGACGTCAGGGCACGGCAGGGGGGGGCTGAGAGGAGCCGCTCCGCATGCAGAACACCCCTGGCGCAGCGCAGCCCGCAGCCTCTGCCTCTTCCCACCCTGCTCCGCTTCTTCACTGCTCTGCTGCATCCACCCTGGACGGGCTCTCGTTACCTTCACAAGGACGCGCCGGCGGACGACCCTGGTGGAGAGAGCCTCCTCGTCGTCCGCCAGCCCCTGGCTCTCCCCGAGCTCCTTGTCCAGCTCGTGGTGGGCATGTTTGAGCAGGAAGCAGACGGAGCCCCTGACGATGTGCATGACGTTCTGGCAGCTGACCAGGAAGAAGGCCAGCAGCACCAGCGCGATCAGCAGCTGGGCCAGGAAAGCCCACATCCTGCTCGCTGCTCACAGCCCAGCCATGCTCTATGGGGTCCCCTGGGGCCGCAGCAGCGCCGCGGGGCCGCAGGCTGCTGTGGGGCCAGCGCTGCAATGGGGCTGCTGTAACTTTAGCTTGCGGCTCCGGTGATGGGCGGTGAGAAGGGAGCGGGCAGCTGGTGCGTCCCCTGCGCTCACAGCTCCAGTCATGGGGCCAGGGCTGTGACAGCAACACCCATCCCCAGCCAGGCAGGAGCCGGGACAGACCCCGTCCCCTTTCCTTCCCCACCAGCAGCCAACAGCCTGGCTATGGTGGGAGGACAGCGTGCGGTCCTCTGTCATGGGATAAACGGAGCTGGGGGTCACTGGACCCACACGTGGCTGCAGAGCAACCGTGTCCAAGTGTAGCTATGCTGCCGCGGTGGCTGAGCGTGCCCTGGCCAAGGGAAAGGTGTTTGCCCTTAACCTTGGACCTGCCGGCTCTGTGTGGCTCTGTCAGGATGCCCCCCACCCAGCCTGGCCCCCAGACCAGCGTTATTCCTGGCTCCAGCAGGCTGTTGGGCTGGCAGCCAGGGCAGATACTCAGTAAGGAAGCACGCAGGGAGGCTGGCTGCGTTATAAATGGAGAGCTAGAGCTCAGGTATCAAGCTCAGCAGGCTATTCTGGGCTGAGAGGCACCCCGAGGGGCCACGGAGCACGCCAGGGGACTTGTGCCTCCTGGCTGGCCTCAGGGCAAGCTCAGCAAAGGGCTGTCCATAGGGTTTGCGTCTCCATTGAGTCTCCATCTCCTGCGGGGCTGGGTCCCCCTGCTCTTACCCTCACTTGCCCAAAGAAGTGGCTCTCTGCCTCCTCCTGCCAGCCGCCTGTGGGGTGCTGGGGCTGCCACTCGCTGTCCTCTGTGGAGCTGACCCGCATCAGCTCCACGGCCGGCACCAGGACCTGCTCTTGCTCCTGGCCCTGTGCCCCGGAGGCCGTGGTGTGCGCTGGGAGCAGACTTCGGGTGACCCCCTCCTGCCAGGAGCCCTCTGTCAGGTCCTGTAGGCAGGAGATAAAGGAGCCTTCTGCATTCCAGTCCCTCAGCCTGGGCACCGGAGAGGGACAGGGACAGGGAGAGAAAGACAGAGAAAGAGAGGCAGTCAGCTTCGCCATGGAGTGCTGCCCCCTGAGCACCAGCCTAGCCCTGGCCGGCGCTGGGCTCCCCGCTCGCGGCACTGATGGGCACCCAGCAGAAGCAGCATGAACGCAGATGCACAAAGGGCACAAGCCTCTCCCCTGCCCGCCCCACAGCCTGGCTGCCGGGATCTAGGGCAACGCTGGGCTCTGCCACTGGGAATGCGGGAGGACAGGACCCACATGCAGGACCTGGCTGCCTGCCTGCGGTCCCTCCCCAGTGCCCTGCAAAGGGGCACCTCAGAGCATCTGTGCCAGGGATGCCCGGGGATGCTGACACCACCAGGGATGCAAGCAAAGCTGGGAGACGGCTGCAGCTGGCCCAGCACAGGGCTATAGCTGGCAAGGCAGTTCTGCTCCCCTCCCACAGCCACCCCGGCACCCCGAGCCACGGTACCTGTCTTCGCTCATCTCCACGACGCGGGTGACGCTCGGTGATGTTGTGATCCTGGCTTGCACCTTCTGCTGAACTGAAACAAAAGAGGCTTCACTCTCTGGTTCTTGCTCCCCAGTCTCTGGCTGGCGATTACCGGATGGCATCTTCCCCTCCGGCCTCTGCCCCTCCTCCTGCTCTAGAAGGTCAATCAAGCCGTTCATGGCGTCTGAGTCCACTGTGTCATCCTCAACCAGGTCCATAGAGCCCATGTGGTCTGGGCCATGCGCATCTGCTAGAAGCTGCCCAGGGAAGCGGCCTTCGCTTGTGGCATCCGAGTCCTCAGCCTTGCTGCACTCCAGAGAGGAGTCCTCAGCAGTCACCAGCGAGGGGGTGAGCCCCGAGGACCACACTTGCATGTCAGACATCTCCATCAGGGCGTCCTGCTCGGTGGCAGCCACGGGGATCGCATCCATGATGGCCACCTCATTCCAGTACTGGTCGGCGCGCAGCGGGGATGGCAGCGTGTAATGCAGGGAGGCAGGGGAGAGCAGCTCGTCCTGCAGCGAAGCGTAACCTATATGGGCAGACAGAGGCGTCATCTCCAGCACGCACAAGCACAGTGGGGCGAGA